CGCCTTGTTCTTTGCTCGCTCCGCCGTAAGAAATGGAGAACCATACGAAGATCTGGTGGTGGAAGCAACCGGAGAATCAAATGGGAAGCATTATTTTCGGTGGACACGACATCCAAATTTGAAAACAGCATTGCAGGATGGACTGAACAGATACCGAAAAGACCCCTCATATAGAAACCAAGCGGCAAGCTCGGGGCTGCCGCCGAATGCTCTGTATAAAAACCGGACAACCTGTCGCCTAGAAATGAGAAATGAACTTCCTGGTGCACAGAATAGGGTCAACTGGCGGTTAAAATGAAAACCTTGGCATTCAAGAACTGGCTTGGAAGCAATGAGCTTTCTATTCGTATGGGATATGCCGAAACACGCAGTAAGGTAGTGAAGGTATTGCCGAAAATCATAGCTGATTCCTTGGAAAAATTCTTTGAGATGTTGGAGTCGAACTTCGACTCCGCAAAGAAGGTACTCTGGCAGACCATTCGCCGATTCCGAGTTGAAAGAAAAGGCGGTCTAAGAGTCTTGAATGACAGTCGTGTGCACCTTTCTACCGCAGATAAGGACATCCTAAGGCGATGGTGAGATTATTTTCTCTTACTCCTTAATCCGAAGGAACCGCAGGATAACTCGTCTGTTGAGTAGAAGGGAATGGATATTACTACTTCTCTAGATGAATCTACTCAAGCTGTGAAATGCTTGAAAGATGGAAAGGCTGCTGGAATTGAAGAACCCCGCCCTGAAATGCTCAAAGCATAAGGTTAAAAAGGCATGTGCCGGCTCACAGGTGTCTATCAAACTATCATGATTGCGGCGAATCTACCATGGGGCTGGAGAACGGGAGTTGTTGGGCTCCTATTCAAGAAAGGAAGCCACAGAGAATGCTACAATTAAACAAGGCAATATATTATTAAGCATTCTAGATAAAGTCTACGCAGAGATGGTGCAAAGGAGGTACGGTGGAATAGATGATTCCAAGATACAAGAAGGGGAGTCTCACCTTCAGCCTGCTCGAAGCACCTCTGAAAATATATAAGCCCCTCCCCAGATTATTGAGAAATCCTGGGTTTCGCCAATCCGGTGTTCATCTGCTTTGTTGCCCTAGAAAAACTTGCAACCGGATCCGGCGCAACAGTCTGAGGTCATGCTTGCGAGCATACTGGAGAGAAGGCCAGTTTATACGAGCCATCCAATCACTGTATTCACATAGCAGGTGCTGCGTCACAGTAAATGAATTTAAGTCGAAGGCTTTCAACGTTGCCAATGGTGTCTTCCAAAGCCGCGTCCTGTCCCCTCTCCTGTATGTGTTGTTCATGGATAGAATAGCCAGGAGGTGTCAAGACGATGAATCAATCAGTGTAGGAGATACATAGACGAGAAGGTTTCTGTTCGCAGATGACCTTGTTTTATTCTCATTTTTTGAAACCGATTTACAGTGCTCACTAGAGGTTAGCAGCAAAGTGCGACGTGGCCGGCATGTGTGTGAACACATCTAAAACGAAAAGCCTAGTGCTTTCTCGTTCTCCTGATCGTTGCTCTCTTCAGCTTAACGGATAGACAGTGGTGCAAGTGGAGAAGTTCAAATACCTTGGAGTAGTATTTACTAGGGACGCAAAATTTGAGGAAGAGATCGACCTGCAAATTGGAATAGCAAGTGGCGTACAGCGTGAACAAGCCCGATCCATTGTGACTAAAACATAGCTCAGTCTGAAAACTAAGCTCTCGATATTCAAGTCGATCTTTATCCCCATGCTTACCTACGGTCATGAATCGTGGACCATCACTGAAGAACTTCGAACCCGGATACAAGCTGCTGAAATGGGCTTTCTGAGACTAGTTGCAAGGCCCAGGGGACTGCCAAGATTAACCTGGTGCAAATATATGGAAGGAGTCTGTTCCAATCTCCGGTTGCTTTCTGCCGAAGCTCAGACTCTGGAACAGGATCGGAAACGCTGGAACCACTGTCTGACGCTTCTGCCTCCGCGAACCGATAGTAAAAGCGGCCATGAAAAATGAATATGTTACTTCTTGGATTTTTGTATTTTACGTTCAATGAAAATAATTAATTGTATATTACAATTACTAGATGATTGTGTGACTTAAGGTTTAGGTATTTATTAGTGATAGCAGGTATGACGAGGACATTTTTGCCCCATGTCCCAGTGGAAATGAAAAAGAAGTGCTGAATTTTCTCCATATCCTCTTCCTTCGAGAAATGGAGCTAATCTTAGAAAAATAAATTAACTCAAGTTTACCCTTTCGTGATGTTCTATTAATTGACTATGAAAGTTGTCGTGAAATGAAAACGTATCGTAAATATACTAACACTGGATTAATATTACACATATAAACTCCAATAAACTTAATACAATATTAACCAATTTTGATGATAGCAACTCTATAGGTTAGATTTACAAATTGCCTCGCGACTGTTAAAAATACTAGAAAGGAGAAACCGGAAATGTCGTCACTCAAAGAACAAAAGCCATATGTTAAGCTGGGAAAGATGGATGACCGCAGGCAAACGCGAATGATATGCGCAACAGAGCATCACAAAAGAAAACAAACCTTCCCTTCTAACAAGGTCAAAGAACAGTGTGAAGATGCCTCAGAGATCGTGCAACATGCAACAGAGAAACACCTCCATACGGTTAGATCGCGAGGATATCTTTAAAGAAAGAAACTGGCTGAACAGACGAATTAAAATTGCCCTAATTATCCTGTCGTGCGAAAATGTCAACTGGAATAAATGATACAAACTCTGCGCAGATTGAACAAACCTCTTCAAGCCGGTGATCCAAAAACCATCTAACAATCAGCATTGGCAAAACGCACACCTTCAGCTTCGGCTTCAGACGCCACAATAGCTACGGACAACACAACCAACTGCAGAAATTATATTTATATGAACCTGCTCCGTCATATTAATATATTTTGATGTTTACGCGCTAAGAAGTGTCTCTGAAATATCGTTGATGATGGGCACAACGTGACTCTCCAGTGCAAATGATGCAAGATGGATCTGGAACTGCAGGTGCTCAAAAATGACATAACCGCAGTCTGCTTAAATGGCTACTCTAGGCAACGATGAGCAGTGGTCCAGTGCAGTGCGTAGAGAATAACATACATTTATCTGTGATGAACCTATGCTTTAATTAGTTTGTTTCTATGTGGAATTAATCTCATTTTCCATCGAGCAGTTGTGCAAAAGTTCTTCATCTTAATGAATGTCTTCCAAGAGCTCCAAACCACTCTGACGCACATTATACTAGAAAATATTACTTTTGTAAAGATCTTAGACAAATTGATCTGCCGCATATCGAATACTTGCAGTTAAAAAGTTAGCAAGCG